TAATGAAACTCCCACAGTGGAGGAATGGACTGTGAAAATGTCAGAGTTTGACAAGATGACTTGTCTGATTTAAGAAAAAACTACAAAGACTTTTTGAAAGACTGAAAATCTTATATGGACTTTATGCTGAAACAAGAAAAAATATGATTTATAGCTTTGAGGATAAAAGCAGATGCAGATTAAGTGAGGGATTGAAGGGTTTTGTATAACATCTAAGAGGGAGGGAAGATAATAAGATTGTAAACAACTGTTGTAGAGAAGGTCAGAAGTCACTCTATTTCATAACTTTAATTTCTTTCTCTTTCTTGCACTTTTTTTCTTTGTTTCTTGTTCTTGTTCTTGTTCTTTAGATTTATCTTTTACTTTATGTGAAACTTTTAATAAATATAATTTTTTAAAAAAGAGAAAAAGCCTGAGGGCTATGAGCAACCTACAAGGCCCACTGCAGGACTGCCCCCTCCCACCTGGCCATGGGGCTCTGTTCCTCCAAGGCCATTTCTGCTTTCGCTGCTGGAGAGAACACAACCTCTGTGGCAACAGGAAGGAAGAGCAACCATCTGGAGGGTATTCCACAAGTAAAATTCACTGCTTGATTTTTCTCTTCTGCAGCAAGTGCAGAGACTTGCTAGAGGGGAGAAAAAGTGGTTGGGTTATTTTTCTCTCCAGGAAGCAAGCATAGAAGCTCCAGGATTCCCCTGTAGCAGCCTCCGAGAGTTGTAACCTCACCCCGACATTGCTGGGCTCATCTCAGAGGTACAGCAAGAATGCCACGGTGGGGATAGTCACCTCTCAAAGTGATGTGCTTTCTTCCCATCTCAAGGATGGAGGAAATCATGTTTCTGGGGTGTGGGAAAAAGCTGTTAGAGAAAGTAGGAAGAACTAAGGAAAGCACAAAGCTATGAAACAAATGCTGGTAAAATGTGAGGTTTTAATTCAGCTACAACCAATGTCCATCAATGCCACTGTAATTGCAACTGAGGATCCTGCATCTAATGAGGGAACTAATGAGACTTACAGTATATTGTGAAAAATACTGTGCCATAGTATCTTTGTGGCCCTTATTTCACCATGTCTATTAGCTCAGGTATAGCTGCTTCTACTATGATTCACCAGGAACTGGTGGTTTATATGAAAAGCACAATACCTTACTTCAAGTCGGATCTCAAAATATTTCCTGGAACTCTGGGTGCATTTCTTTGGCGATGTCTCCACTATCAAAGCAAAAGCATCAGACTCTGGAGGCATCCTGTTGTATCGAAGAGTAGTCTAAGGAAGAAAAGCATGCTATTGAGTTCTAAGCTGCTGCACTTGAACAATGGCTATTCCAGAATTGGAAATCACCAAGGAATGCTATGTTGCCCAAACTAATGAATCTTCCCCCATCATTTGATTAAATTTCTTGAGACAAACTCTTCCAAGTTCCATATAACTACAACATACAGAACAGGCAAGCACAGTTGATGTCATCTTCTGGTACCAAGGTACTGAAATGCATATTGATTATATTGATTATGCCTGAATCACAAATGGTACCTGAAACATGTTACAAGGTGGAGTGGTCCAGCTAGCCACTCTTGCCATCTTGCAAAATCATCCCTATTCCATTTTCTTTCAATTCCACCCCAATTTTCAATTGCTCATTAAGAAATCCCAGGACTGTAGATCAGACTGGGAAATAAAAAAAACATCCAGAAGAAGGCAGCAGTAAACCACCTCTGTGTTGTTGCCATGAAACCAACAAGTATGTGTCCAGGTAGTCACCAGAATTAAGCTTGATTAAATCTTTATCTTTCTAGCACCACAGCACATTATTGAGTTTGTATGTGAATGAATGAATGAATGAATGAATGAATGAATGAATGAATGAATGGAGAGATTATCAATTCATAGAGCAGTACATCGTGTTCATTCAACAGCAACACTAGAACTCTGCTTTATCTTAGTGACTATTGAACAAGTTCCACTTCATTTATTTTAAGGTTGTTTTTTTGGTCACACCAAAGACAAGATATGCTTTAGCACAAGAAGGGTTAGGGATATTTTTAAAAATTTCTACAGCCAGTATATTTCATTAGATATTAGCTGAGGACATTTCCTGTTGTAGGACAAGACCACCCATGCAATCATTATTTATCTTCTCAGGACTCCACAGAATCTGAAATATCACACCCAACCTCCTTCACCCTATGACTGTCTCTAAAGATAGTCACAGACTGGACCTCTTATGCTGCTCCCAGTAGAACAAAGGCTAAAGCCATTCCCAGGCTCACCTGCACATAAGCACAGCCATGCCCTGATAGCTCCACCTCGTACTGGCCAGGGATCTCTGGGAGGGAGGCCTGCTGCAGCACCAGCCGGTTCTTCTTGTTCACATGGAATTCATGCTGGAAGCCTTTGCTGGATTTCACCACCACCTTTAGGTTTTCTATCTCAACGTATGTCAAGGCTGCATACCTGGCTAAACTCTGCAGGCCAATCACAGTATCCTGGTGGCAAGTAAACAGTTTTGTTGGATACGAAGACAACATATCTTTGGAACTACATGGCAAACTTCTATCAAGATCAAGGATCTTGTCATAGAATGCAACAGATTCTGACTGGGCAATAGGTAGCTCTCAATGTTGTGAACTCCAGTTCCTTTTGTCTAGCAAGCATGAGCAAACTGTGAAGGAAGATAAGATGCTGCAAACTATGGTTTGCTATTATGGAAACAACCTCTAGGAAACACTGGCTTATACACACACTCTGCTTCTCCTCTTATGTTGTTACTCATTTCCAAAGCATGGCCTATATCTACAAGGTCTCAATTTCTGGGGAGTGGATGTGCCATAAACACCACTCCTTTTACTCATTAAGCCAAGTGAGTTGCTGCTGTTATTAATCAACAACAGAAACATACACGTTTAGCCCACATTTCCTAATTCTGCCATAGGATTAGATCTTGGAATATCATATTATTAATTTCAAATTGCTGACATTTTTTGACACTGCTTAAAAATACCACACTGTGCCAGAGAATGCACCTCAAGTCCCTTGAGCAGAAGAGCTCCAAGTGTAGCAGATTTTCTTTCCAAATGTGTCCATCTTCCTCTATTTTTAGATTCAGTGTGTTCAGATTCTGTATAATTCAGATTAAATCCTCTGCAAACCCTTTGCTCCCCCAACTTGTTTTTCTGGAATCATCTCTGCAAATGGAACCTACGAGCATCAGTGTTACCTGGGTGGAACTAAAGCCTCCATATGTATTCCGTTCTTTATTAAGGTTACCCATCATCTGAGAGGCATAATTGATATCTTCTGTGGATGCTTCTGTCATGGAAAGGCGAGCCAAGAGCACATAGGCCATTGTCTCAATATCTGGAAATAATACAAAAAGCAAAATACTGGAGTTGAATGGAAAAACAAACCACTACTGAGGGTTTGACTCCTGTAACATTCTTCCAAAGCATTTCTTGGAGCAGAAACTGTTGAGCCCCCCAAATGGTTATGTTTTTTGTTTTTCTGATGGGCTTTCTGCCTTACCAGGTAACACTATCCACCATCATTCAAGAATGATGTAACTTCATTCAGATGTATTTTCTCTATGTTCACATACAGTTGTCTTTCAGTCAGAGCCAGTGAACCACATCAGGCAGAGGAAAGAACCCGCATTAAACCTCCAATAAACTTGCATTACCATAGAACAGCCCCATGCTTATCATATATTTCTATCAGCAACATGGGAATTACTGACAGAACTCAGAAAAAATATCACTTCTGCTTAAGAATTAACCAGGTTAAGAATTAACCAGGTTAACAGAATCCATCAGAGTCACAGAAAGGTGGTTTCCCAAGCAAAGCATGGGAATGACTAACATAGAACTGTCCCTCTTACCTGTTTTGAGAACTTCCTCCTCTAAGTCTCTGAGGAGCTGTTGCCGGGTCTCTGTGTCCCCAGCCAACGTGAAGACATAAGCCAGCAAAGCCTTTGGGTAGGTACTGTTCACAGAGCTCAGGCTCCTCTTCAGGCAGAGTAAGGCGTCATCTACCATGCTCCCCTATAATCCCAAAATACCCGGTGAGGTTTCAAGCAGAAGCATAACCTATAAGGATATCCTATCCTCTGTGATCTACCCAGAGCTACCGTAATTGGGCAGAAAACCTGTCCAGTCAGGACTTGGGTTCTTCTTACCCCATCCCTGAGGTTGGCTGCTCTTCTGTAACCCCCCCAAAAGTTCCTAAATGGTTTCTTGCAACCCTCTCTCTTACATTTGCTGGCTTTGGTACCACAGGCTGGTTCCCTGACTGGAAAACCTAGATTAGTTACTTCTGGAGGCAGAAGCTGCATCAGGACTGTCCAGAAAGTCTCAGGAAGGCCCCGGGGATG